CTATTCTGTGTCTTTTGATTGGAGCATTTAATCCATTTACATTTAAGGTTATTATTGATAGGTACTTATTCATTGCCATTTTTGTACCTGTGTTCCTCTCTGTCTGTCTCTTTTCCTTCCGTTCCTTAAAGCAGACCCTTTAGTATTTCTTGTAGAGCTGGCTTGGTGGCAGCAAATTCTTTTAGATTTCTTTTGTCTTGGAAGCTCTTTATTTGGCCTTCTATCTTGATTGAGAGCCTTGCTGGGTAAAGTAGCCTTGGTTGTAGGCCTCTGTTTCTCATTACTTGGAATATTTCTTGCCAATCTATTCTTGCTTGGAGTGTTTCCATTGAGAAGTCAGTGGCTAACCTTATTGGGACGCCCTTGTATGTTATTTCTTTTTTCTCCCTTGCTGCCTTTAAGATTCTCTCTTTGTCTTGGAATTTTTCCATTTTAATGATGATGTGTCTTGAAGTGGGCCTCTTTGGGTTCCTGTTGAATGGGAGTCTGTGTGATTCCTGGATTTGTGTGACTTTTTCTTTTGTCAAATTAGGGAAATTTTCTCTCATTACTCTTTCAAATATGTTTTCTATCCCTTGTTCTTCTTCTTCTCCTTCTGGTATTCCTATTATTCAGATATTATTACGTTTCATATTGTCTTGCATTTCTCTTAATCTCTCTTCATTCTTTCTGAGCCTCTTTTCCCTTTCCTGTTCTTTCTGTGAGATGCTTTCTACTTTGTCCTCCAATTCACTAATCCGATCTTCTGTTTCATCCACCCTATTTTTAATGCTTTCCACTGTGTTTTTAAATCAGAAATTGTATTCTTCATTTCCTCTTGGCCCTTGCTAATAATTTCCATTTCCTTTTCATGTTGATATAGTTCACAGTGAGATCATTGTAGCTTCCCTGTAGTTTCTGGTAGCTGATTGTGAGCTCTGTGAACTTCCTGATAACCAGTGCTTTGAATTCAGTATCTGATAGTTGACTTGCCTCTATTTCATCTAACATTCTTTCTGAGGATTCCTCCTTTCCTTTCATTTGTGGATTGTTTCTTTGTCTTCCCATTGTTTGTGAGACTCTTCTTGTTAGCCTCAGCTTCTTAGATTAATCTGTTTTGACACCCCGGGTTTATGGTATGAACTTTTGTGGTGGAATGCCTGTGAATTTCAATGGTGCAGCCTCTTTTGGTTATCCTGTTGTTCTCTGCTTCCACCTACTCAAATATGCAGCAACTTGTGGCTTCTCTTCTACTACAATGTGCAATTTGTCTCTCTGACTCTACTATTGGGAGGCCTCTTCTATGGGTCCAGCTCTGGTCTTTTCATATTTTCAAGTTGATTGTGAGTCTTGTGGGTAAAAGAAAGAAATGATAAGGAAAGAAATAAAAGGAAGAAAGAAAAAAATGGTAGGGGAATGGAAGAAAGAGCAATAAGTTTAGAAAGAAAAGAAAAAGAAAAAAAACCAGGAAATCTGCGAAAAGAGGACAAAAGTATGGAAAGATGAAACAGTAATAAAGTTTAAAAGAAATAACAGATTACTTTAAAAAAGCAAAAAGATAAAGAAAAGGAATGGAGAAGGAAGAAAGGTAAATTAAAAAAAAGAAAGAATAAAAATAAAATAAAGTAAAAAAACAAAAAACGCACAAACAAAAATAATCTCTCAAAAGCAACCTCAGAAAAGGAAATGTCACTTGTTGGCTTCAAACTAGCCCAACCGGTTTTTCTGGTTGCAGTTGGCTGAGGGTTGATTGTTGTGATTTTTTCAGCCAGCCCCTCTCAGGATCCAGACACTTGGCGCCTCTCCCCCAGCTCCCTACAATGGGGAACTAGGACTTCCTCGCAGCGCTCCCCTCCCAGGGGTTACTGCCATAGTCTGGTTTGCTGTGTTTGCAGGCACCTGCACCGGCCTAGTTGCCTGGTTCCCTCGGGATTGAGCACAGGCCTGCCCCTGTTCCGTTGGGAAGCCCCAGACCCTCTGCCCAATCCTGGGTTTGCTGCCAAGCTGGGTGTGAAGTAGACCAGGCTGCCGTGTCTACTGGATTCAGAGCCCCAGGCTGCACCTCTGAGTTCTCCTGGGCTGGCAACCACAGAGTCTTTGGTTGGGGCCCTTTGTCCTCCGCACCCTCTGTAAACTCTATCAAACAAGTCTCTCCTGGCCCCCCACCTTGCTTGGCCAGAAAGGGAGGGGGTTGAGGGTCTCAGCTCTTTTCCCAGGACCCCTCAGCGCCCTAGGCTTCCAGATAGTCTGAGGGGGGTAGACTGGAAGCTGGGAGCAGATCTGAGGACTGGGCGCCGACCTAGAAACTCTGTGTGCTCGTCATGGCACGCTGCGTGGTGTGTATCCCTTCTGCTCCTGTGTTTGTCTGGATCCCCTGGCCAACCTCTGGCAAAAAAAAACCTAGGGATGGAGCAGCACCACGCTGGGTGCTGGACCCAGAACTGTGTGCAGGCTGAAATCTCCTCTGCTCCCCTCTGGTTGGGTCTCTTGGCTGGTCCGGGCCCAAAAATCCTAGGGAGGGAGCTTTCTGGGTGCTGAACGTTGGCCTAGGCGCCCTCAGGCACTTGCCCAGACACACTGCGTGTGGAGCGACTAGTTCCCCAAATTGCACGCAGGCTGAAGTTTCTTCCACACCTCTTTGCCTGGGCCACTCGGCCTGCCCGGCAGAAAAGTCCCAGGGAGGGAGCCGTCCGGGCGCTGAACGCTGTCCCAGGCGCCTTTAGGCACTCTCCCAGACACAGTTCCCACCAGGTGCTGAACCTCCGAGCTATGCACAGACTGAAATCACCTCTGCTCCCCTCTGGTTGGGCCACTTGGCAGGTCCCCGGCCCAAAAATCCTAGGGAGGGAGCTTTCTGGGCGCTGAACGTTGGCCTAGGCGCCCTCGGGCACTTGCCCAGACACACTGCGTGTGGAGCGACTAGTTCCCCAAATTGCACGCAGGCTGAAGTTTCTTCCACACCTCTTTGCCTGGGCCACTCGGCCTGCCCGGCAAAAAGATCCCAGGGAGGGAGCCGTCCGGGCGCTGAAGGCTGTCCCCAGGAGCCGTTTGGCTCTGGCCACAGGGCGCTGGTTCCCGTACCCTGCACCGGCTGTTTCATCCTGCTCCGTCCCACAGACTACTGTACCGCTGCTGTCTCCCTACCGTCTGGTTCCTCCGTGACCGATGAGGTTTCTGGTCTCTTATTTTCATATATGCTTGGCAACTGCTGGCTTGCTGGCCTCACCTCCTCCGATCGGATAGGTTTCTGTCTCTTTTGTACTAGGAACTGGTATCTGCTCCGTCCTAGTCCACCGCCATCTTGAAACTCCCTGTACTCTACAATTAAATGACTTATTTTTCCTTTAACTTTATCCATTTTCAAAAGTATAGTTAATAGCTTTTGAAATATGGGAGCTCTGTAATAATAACTAATATATGTTGAGTGCCTCCTATATTCTAGGCATTATGAAGAGTATGAGCTCTGGATTCAGTCATGAGTCCCAGTCCCAACTTTGTTGTTTATCAGCTGGGACCTTTGGCAAGGCAATAGATATTTATAGAGCCTATAAGCATATAAAAGATGTTCCTCTTTTCAGAAGATATACCCATTTTCATATACATGTTTTCTTTAACATAGGAGGGTAATTCTTGGCCCTCTAGGAGTATTACATGAACTTCATGGATTTCGCAGCTGGGGAGATGGATTTGTACTGAAGTACCTTGACTAGCTATTTTTAGGGGTACAGATTGTTATTCTTCATTCTCTGTGAAGATAATTAGTCGTGGAGGATTGGAATCTATTGCTCCTCCTCCTTCTCTATGTTCTAACCAGTTGAGCCAACTACTAAATTAGCTTGGGTGTGCAAATCATAAATTAAAAAATTTAGCCTTATAAGAGATATAAAAGATAATCTAATTCAACTCTTCTCCCATATGGCTGGAAGAAAACTTCCACAGCATTCATGCATGCATGCATACATTCACTTATTAATTTATTCATTCTTCAGTAGATATTTGTTAGAGCTTCTATTTGCCGGGTAAGCCCAATCTCTGAAAATACAAAGAGAAATAAGAATGTATTGCTGCTGCATTCAAGGCCCCCACAATTCAATGACAGTAGGGAGAATGAGCTGCATGAAATAACTGCAAAATATTGAGATTAAATTTTAATATAGTTCAAACAACTGTGTGCATACTGCTATGAGAACATTAAGATGGGGGTCTAGGAAGGGCTTACAGAGGTAGTGAGATGACCAGAATGAAGGAAGAATAGTTTCATTAAATACGAAGAAGTAGGCCGTCCCCTAGAGCAAATAGTAGAAGCAAAGCCCTAAATGTGAGAGAGCCTGGTACGAGTTGGTTGTGAGGTCAGGCACTAAAGGGAGAAATGGCTACAATATGGAGGTCCATCTGTAAGTGACAGATGATGAGTTGTCTTCTGTCTGAATACTTTTGGGCATGAGCATACTTACTCATAAGGCAACTCAGCCAAATTCAGATAGCTTTGGTTGCTAGAGCGGTTTCTGATTTGAAAAGTACCTAATTATGGTAGGATTGATTAAATTTGTCCCATAAAGGTTACAGGTACTGACAGAATATTAAAATACACTTTTGAATTGAGTACAGAACCTTTAGGTTAGAGAATTAAGGATATAATATTTTGATAGGTGATGGAAAGTATTAGATAGGACAGAACAGTAGTATAGTTGCTTTAAGAACAGGTGATTCCCAAGTGATTCCTGGAGTGGGTGGTATAAGGGGGTTAAAAGGCGATGGAAAAAAAATACAATAGAAAATGTGATTCCCAATGAAGCAGAAGCTTTTATATTTTTAATAAATTTCCTAGTGAAAAAATTAGAATGTGTTTGCTCAGCTTATGCAAACAAAACAAAGAATGCTATCAGTAGAATTTATATGCTTCATTAAAATAAGTTCTATGAGACTTGCTGAATTTATACATTTTATATGTCATGAAATACGATTGAACTGATTATTACATACTACAAAATTAAAACTCTAATTAATTAATTTTTTTTTAGATATCTAACAGATTTTGAGCCAATTCAGTGCATGGGTCGTGGTGGGTTTGGAGTTGTCTTTGAAGCTAGAAACAAAGTAGATGACTGCAATTATGCTATCAAGAGAATACGTCTCCCCAACAGGTAATGGATGGTATTTTTAGTAAACTTGGAGTTAGCACTGTATAGTTTAATCTCATAGGCAATATGTCCTTCTTACTATACTTCAAAGAGACTATAGAGAACAGTTTCTGACCTTCTGAATCTTATGTGTAAGTGCTACCAGGTAACTATAGGTGTTTAAAAGGCATGATCTACTTTAATTACTTTGAATCTACTTTTAAAAAATCTATCCTTGTTTTATATTTTTAATAACTCAGAACGTTCCCATAGCGAATTTTAGTAACTGTAGATTATAATACATAGCACCATTGAAAAACAATATTATGGAAAATAAAGAAAAGTATTAAAATAAAAATTATCTGTATCTTTTCTGCCTGATAATAACCACATTAACATTTTAAAGTATTTCCTTTTGATTTTTTCTAGCCATAAATTTACCTAGTTATCAATTCAGTATAGTTTCATCTCTTGCTTCCTTCATTGCATCCTCAGGATTTTCCATATTACTGAGTATTTTATTAAAATGTTGAAATACATTCAAAGTGTTTTTATAGCTGGATGATCCAGTTAATACATTTTTCTGTCATATTTAACTATTTTGTATTGTTAAATATTTAAGTTTCCAGTTTGTTACAATTAAAAATAACTTCGCAGTGTTCGTCTTCTTTTTCTTTTTTTTCCTAATTCTTTTTTCAAGTACAGTTATCTCCATTTTCCTCTCACTACTCCCTCCCACCCCAGCCATCCCCACCTCCCACCCTGGATCCTAAACCTCTTTGGCTTTGTCTATGTGCCTTTTATACAGCACCTTTTATATAAATATTTGATCACATCTGTTTCCTTTGGGTAGATTCCTAGAAGTAGAATTTCTGGCTCAGAACAATGTGATGCTTAAGATGATGAGTTTCTGTAGTACCTTCCTTTCCACTTATTGTAGAAGGCACAATAAGTGCATTGTGCCTTCTACACATGGATTTCTTTTTCTTTAAAAAAAAATGTATTGAGTTTATTGGAGTGACATTGGTTAATAAAATTATATAGGTTTCAGGTGTGCAATTCATAATATATCATCTATATATTGTATGTTTACCACCCAAAGTCAATTCTCCTTCCATCACCATTTCCACCACACCCCCCTTACTCTATTCTTCTTCCCTTCACCCCACTTTCCCTCTGGTAATCACCTTACTGTTGTCTGTGTCAGTGAGTTTTGTCTTTGTTTTGTTTAATCCCTTCACCTTTTTCCCCCAGCTCTCCAGCTCCCCTCCCCTCTGACAGACGTCAGTCTGTTCTCTGTATCTATGAATCTCTTTCTATTTTATTTGTTAGCTTATTTTGTTCTTTAGATTCCACATATAAGTGAAATACTAGCATATATATTTGTCTTTCTCTGCCTAGTTTATTTTACTTAGCATGGATTCTTGGTAAATGTGCACTAACTGCCAGACTGTTCTAACTGGTAGTAGGATGTTCTGTACAACAGATAGGTGACCTGGACCCTGGCTCATTGGGTCTGCAGCATTATGGATGAGACAAGACCATTCACATGACCACTCTCTCAAGGGGAGAGCGCCTTGGAGAGCCTCAGCCACTCTCTCAAGAGGAGAATGCGCCGACCCTTGCCTTGACAGATTTTTATTGCTTTTCTGAGCACATTATATGATGGTCCTCATTTACTATATGCAGGTTCACTTTAGGTGGTTACCTTTTCCAGAAAACAAAGGAAAGGATGCCAGGAGAGGATTTCCAGAAAACAAAAGAGAAGGATATTTCAGACCAAGGGCAAAAGTGTTTGAACTGGTTACACTCCATACTGGGGAGGTTTAGCACCTACATTAGGAAGTTACAGTAAGCACTAGCTGCCTCAGTTCATGGTGAGGGAGTCTTAGCAAAAGCAAGTTTCAAAGTGGCCCAGGAACAATGCAGGTCTGATTCCCCACAGGAGAACCTACCTGTGGGCATGGGTCCTGTGCATTGAACCTCGCTTTGCACTGGGAGCTGGGCCCATGCCACGCAGGGACACAAGGATGGGATGGTTTGAGTACTATGGGACTAATTAATTTCTTTAGTATGTAATTTTTGGATAGTTTAAATATTTACGTGTGCAAGGCAACACAAAGGAAAGGCTTCTGTGCTCAAAAACCTATAACTATTTGAGGTTTTTTGTATATATACTCAGTTACAGTGCAAGGAAGATTGTGATCCATGATTTAAGTAAATAGCTTGTCATGAAAAAAGCACAGATGTAGTCAAAAGGCAGTCAAGGATGGCAAGGTTTATGGAGGTAGTGACTTCTGTGCTGAGTGTTCAAGAGTAGCCTATCCCTCAGTAGACAGGTGTGTAGGGGAGGGATGGCCAAGTACCTGACATGTCCTGAGTGAATGCTCTAGACCAGCACTCAAGGGTGGTAAAGAGAATGGTGAGAGTTCTGGTAAGGGTAGAGCACAGGGGTAATAATTGGGAGGGGGTGTGGAAGAGAAGATGAAAAAGATGGGTCATAGCATGTTCAGTGTCAAGCAAAGGAGTTTATATTTCATTTTGCAGGCTCTTATGGCTTTGAACAGAGAATCACATGATCAAAGTAGAGGTGACTGTGTCACAGGTGGGCATAGGTAACCTGGTTCTTGGTGATTGGGACAAAGAATTGAACCAAACGCCCAGAGTTTATAGCAGAGAACATGGGAGCAGGCCAACTCCAAGCAGAGATTGACCTCATGGGCTAGAGGGACTCTATTCTTACAGGGTGGATCTTTCCTGGCTAGTTTTGGTGGGCTTTTACTGCATATGTGCAAGTAGTTGTATTACTTAAAGCTACGTCACATGTGGTCTCCCGTGATTTTCCCTGATTAGCCCTTAGGAAAGGGGGTCCCACAGTGTTACCAAATTAACCCCCCCTTCTCCTGGGGTCCCCCTATACTAGGTTTGCCTTGCCCATTGCCAGAGAATTATAGCTTTCCATGTTAGAGATTGGTGAAAAGGAAAGGAATTATTTATTCAAATTATACAGACTTAAGAGTAATGACTTAATATCTTCATCAAAATCCCAAAGTCCATTAAAACACCCACAAGCACGCACAGTACTTCCTTCACCCCTTTGCCTGGTCTGGGGTACCATATCTCAGGAAAAAAAATAGAAGTCCATGGCTCAGGCAGTTCCCAGTTCTTGCCAGTAATCTGTGCTTGGCTGGCAGGCCTCCCTTGGTTCCTGGCACCATCATCTGTGTTGCTGGGATGTCCAGTTCTTATTCCAAACCCACGTGGCACCTTCTCCTGGCCCACCAGCAAGAGTTCTTTCACCCTTTTCTTTCCCACAGCATCTTTCCTGCATTCTTCAGAACTGCTGAGAGAGAGCTCTGTATTGCTGCTACATCTTGTTTTCCAGCTTCCTAAGCTGTGTGACAAAGGGAGACCCAAAGCCACGTGATTCTCACCTGCCAAAGCTGCATGGTGGTTCCCTCCTCGTGGTGATTCTTTGCCAAAGTCACGTAGCGGTTCTTGTCATGGCTGCCGTGCCTAGGTTTAAATCCCAGTGCTAGTCTTCCTCTGCAGCCCCATTTCCAACTCTTTTCACAATCAGCTACACTTGCCAGCATTCCTGCATTTTCCAGCTTTTCTGGGCTGCCATAGTTAAGTCTGGGCAGGCATCGCCCCATGTTGTGGAGACAATCATCTCTAAGCGCTCAGGCTCTGTAACCAGGAGGAGTTGTCTCCCAGTTATATCTTGGGTGAAAGTCACTCCCTTCTCCTAGCTGAAAGCATGGCCACAGCTATTTAACATATCAGTGAAACCAGTTAAAGGCTATAGATATGTTAAATACCATTCTAGAGGTTATCTGTAAAACTGTTGCTATGCAAAACTCAATGTCCCTGCTCCATGTATCCCATTCCCCAGTTCAGACTTGTGGGGGTGAGGATATCCCATATTTTTAGTATTTCCTGGATACCCTGAGTTCTAGGCCCCATTACAAATCCTTCTTTTGGGGATCCCCTGATTGCACCCTCTTACAACTGGAGGTGGTGTGCACATAGATGGCTGATGAGGAAGAGGGTCAGAGAAAAGAATGTATGTTAGGAGATTTACTTTTGCAAAAGTTTAGTCTTAAGATACAGAATACTAGCCCAGCAGCAGTGGAAGGAATGAGTGTAAGGAAATGAAAGGAGGAGCTGGTAGGTTTTGGTAAGTTTGGACCAGAAGTTGACAGATTCAGAAACATACCAGGAATCCCAGAGTGGGGACAATAACAACAAAACACAGCGGGGGGGAAATTGGGAGTAGTTGACGACCTCCTGGGGAAGGAAGCAGATTTAACTTGTACTTACATTGTTTCGGGTGATAGCAGAATCCCTAGAAATATGAGATTAGATTAATCAGAAAAGCTATCACAGCAAAAGGTCAAATCCAGATGCTTTGTCATTAAATTTCATTGCCTATGATATTCAGTAAACAAACATGCTTTAAACAAACATGCTAGAACAAGCTCTTTGGATTGTAATATGTACCCTGTTCAGTGGTCATTCTCCATCTTCCTGAGCTGTGATACTGAGCTCTGTTTTCTGATTAATTGACTTTGTACCTATTCATCCTTTTATTCGTTAAAGAACATTAAGCAATAATCTTTAAAGGTCTATACTCATAAGCCAAGAAAGCTTTCTTTCAATGAAGTAATAGACATGCTTGTAGCACTTAATTCTAGAACTAAAACAAACAAACAAAATACTAAACATGTATTTTTTTCAAGTACAGGATTTAATATTGGCTTTTTAGAATTATACCACTAGGCTAATTCATCTGTTTCTAATTTTAGATCCTAGGGAGAATTTTATTTTATTTCTTACTATTATATCTAATTACTGATATCTGATTACTTGTTGAGATCAGAGCATCCTTCAGTTTCTCCTTTTTTTCTCTATTTCAGAGAATTGGCTCGGGAAAAGGTAATGCGAGAAGTTAAAGCCTTAGCCAAGCTTGAACACCCAGGAATTGTTAGGTATTTCAATGCTTGGTTGGAAGCGCCACCAGAGAAGTGGCAAGAAAAAATGGATGAAATTTGGCTGAAAGATGAAAGGTAAATATTGTTAGATATAGACTTAAAAAATGGTATTTTCTTTCAGGCTAGTTTTTTGCTTATGCAAACAAATGTTATTTCTTATAACTTCAGAAATGACTTTTTAAAAGAAAAAATGTTATTTCTTTTTTTTTTTTAATTTTATTTATTTATCTTTAGAGGGGAAGGGAAGGAGAGAGGGAGAGAAACATCAATGTATGGTTGCCTTTTATGCGTCCCCTGCTGGGAACTGGCCTGCAGGGAACCTGCCTGCAACCCCTGTATGTGCCCTGACTGGGATTGTCTGGTTCGCAGGCCCGCGCTCAATCCACTGAGCTACACCAGCCAGGGCCAAAATGTTATTTCTTATAACTTTAGAAATGACTTTTTAAAAGAAAAATAACAGCAGATACTATTCTCTCACCATGTTTTGGAACATTCTCAGTTGTTAAATTAAATTTTATTTAGTATTTAAACATGATTTTTTTTGTCCAGAACATGAATTTTTAAATTAAATTTATTGGGGTGACCTTGGTCAATAACATTATGTAACTTTCAGGTGTATAATTCCATAATATATAATCTGTTTATTGCACTGTGTGCTCACCACCCAGTCAGGTGTCCATGTGCCACCATATATTTCACAGACACCCTTTATTCTCTTCATCCTCCCTCTATCCCCCTTCCCTTCTGGTAATAATCCTTTTGTTGTCTATTGTCTCTGAGTTTATTTGCTTGTTTTCTTTGTTTATTGCTTTTTGTTTTATTATCCCACATGAATGAAATCATAAGGTCCTTTCCATCTGACTCATTTCGCTTAGTGTGATACTTTCAAGATCCTTCATTGTTGTCACAAATAGCAGTGTTTCATCTTTTCTATGGCTGAGTAGTATTCTGTTGTATATATGTACCACTTCTTTATCCAGTCATCTGTTGAAGGACTCTTAGGTTGTTTTCATGTCATGGCTATCATTTATAATGCTACAGTGAACATAAGGACACACATATCTTTTTGAATAAATATTTTCAAAACTTTTAAGGTAGCTACCTGGAAGAGGAATTACTGGGTCATATGATAGCTCTAATTCTTAATTTTTTAAATTACAGTTTACATTCAGTATTATTCTGGATTAGTTTTAATATGTACACCATAGTGGTTAGACAGTTATGTCTATTCTTAATTTTTTGAGGAACCCACATACTGTTTTCAATAGCAGCTGTCCCAGTTCACATTCTTACCAGCCATGTATGAAGATTTCTTATTTTCCACAACCTCTCCTACACTTTTTGTCTTACTGATAATAGCCATCCTAACAGGTATGAGGTGGTATCTCATTGTGGTTGGATTTGAATTTTTGTCGTAGCTAGTGAAGTTGAGCATTTTTTCATATACCTGTTGGACATTTGTATGTCTTTTGGGGAGAAATGTCTGTTCAGGTCCTTTGCCCATTCTTTAAATTGCATTGTTTGTTTGTTTGGTGTTGAGTTGTATGACATCTTTATATATTTTGAATATTAGCCCCTTATCAGAGGTATTGTTTGCAAATATCTTCTTCTATTCAGTTGAATACCTTTTTGTTTTGTTGATGGTTTCTTTTGCTGTGCATAAGCTTTTTAGTTTGATGCAGTTCCATTCATTTATTTTTTTTACTTCTTTTGCCTTTGGGGTCAAGTTCATAAAATCTTCTCTGATTCCAAGATCTATAAATTTAGTACATATGTTTTCTTCTATGTACTTTATTGTTTCAGTTCTTATATTTAAGTTATTAAGTCATTTTGAGTAAATATTTATGTATAGTGTCAAGTAGCAGTCTAGTTTCATTCTTTTGCATTTGGCTTTTAATTTTCCCAACACCAGTTATTAAAGAGACTCTCTTTTCTCCATTGTATCTTTTTGGTTCCTTTGTTGAAAATTAGTTGCCCATATACATGTCCATTTACTTCTGGGATCTCAATTCTGTTCCATTGGCATGTGGAACTGTTTTCTGCCAATACCATATTGTTTTGATTGCTGTAGCTTTGTGGTATAATTTAATGTCAGGGAGTGTGATAACCCCCTGTTTTGTTCTTTTTCCTCAGGATTTCTTTTACAATTTGGGATTTTTTTTATGGTTCCATACAAATTTGATGATGTTTTTGTTCCAGTTTTTTTGAAGAATGTTGGGAGTTTGTCAGTAATTGCATTAAATCTGTATATTGCTTTAGGTAATAAGGTCTTTTTAACTGTATCAATTCTTCCAGTCTGTAACATGGAATATCTTCCCATTTCTTTGCCTTCTTCATTTTCTTTCCACAGTGCCTTCTACATTTCAGTATATAGGTCCCTCACATCTTTTGTTAAGTTTATTCCTAGGTATTTTACTTTTGTTGTGATTGCAAATGGAAAAGTTTTGTTCATTTCTTTTCCTAACATTGTCAGTGTAAAGGAATGCAGCAAATTTTTGTACATTGATTTTGTATTCTGCCACTTTACTATATTTGTTTATTGTTTCTATAATACTTTTTTGGTGGCATTTTTAGGATTTTTTATATACAAAATCATGTCATCTGCATAAGGTGGCAGTTTTACTTCTTCATTTCCAACTTGGATGTCTTATATCTTTCTCTCGCCTGATTGCTGTGGCTAGGACTTCCAGAATGATGTTGAATGCAGTGGTAAGAGTTTGCATCATTGTCTTGTTCCTAATTTTAGAGGAAAAGCTTTCATTTTTTCACCATCGGTATGATTTTAGCTGAGGGCTTTTCATATATGCACTTTATTATGTTGAGATACTTCCCTATATACCCACTGTATTGAGTGTTTTAATTATAAATGGATGTTATATCTTGTCAAATGCTTTTTCTGTGTCTGTTCATATGATTTTTTATCCTGTTTTATGTGGTTTATTACATTGATCAGTTTGCATATGTTTAACCATCCTCACACCCTTGAATGAACTCCACTTGATTGTGGCATATGATCCTTTTAATGTATTGTTATATTTGATTTGCCAGTATTTTGTATAGGATTTTTGTATCTGTGTTCATCAGAGATACTAGTCTGTGATTTTGTGTGTATGTTGTTCTTGCCAAGTTTTGGTATTAGGGTAATGTTTAATATTTGGGTAATGAGTTAGGAATTATAGCTTCTTCTTCAATTTTTTTGAAAAGTTAGGGAAGGGTAGTTTCTAAATCTTTGAATATTCGGTTGAATTCACTAGTGAAGCCATCTGGTTCTAGACTTTTGGGAGGTTTTTGATGACTGTTTCAATTTCCTTACTATGGATCAGTCTATTTAGATTTTCTAGTTCTTCATTCAGCCTAGGAAGTTTATATATTTCTAAGAACTTGTCCATTTTTTTTAGGTTATTGAATTTGGTGGCTTATAACCTTTCATAGTATTCTTGTAATAGTCATTTGTATTTCTGTGGTGTTCATTGTAACTTCTCTGTCGTTTCTGATTTTCTTTGAGTTTTTTCTTTTTTCCTTACTGAGTCAAGCCAGAGATTTGTTGATTTTATTAATTTTTAAAGAAACAGTCTTTTGTTGCCTTATTTTTTTCTATTGTCTTTTTGTTTTGTGTTTCATTTAATTCTGCTCTGATTTTTATCTCTTCTACTTTTGGCTTCATTTGTTTTTCTATTTCCTTAAGGTGAAATGTTAGGCTGTTTATTTGAGATTTTTCTTGTTTCTTGAGGTGGGCATGTAATGCTACCCTCTCTTTACTGCTTTTGCTGCAGTCCCCAAATTTTTGTATTATGTGGTCTTGCTCATTTGTCTCTATTATCTATTGATCTCTCCTTTTGTTTCTTTGACCCAGTTGTTTTAGTAGCTTGTTGTTAAATCACCACATATTTGTGGTTTTTTCCAATTTTTTCTTTTTTGCTGTTGATTTCCAGTTTCAGATTGTCATGGTTAGAAAATATGCTTGGTATAGCAGCAGTCTTCTTAAATTTGTTGAGGCTAGTTTTGAGCCCCAACATATTGTCCTTCCTTGAGGGTATTCCATGTGTACTAGAAAAGAATGTATATTCTGTTGTTCTGGGATGAAAAGCTCTATAAATATTGATGTTCATTGGTCTACTATATCATTTAAGGCTGATTTTTAAAATTGATTTTCTGTTTGGATGATCTACCCATTGCCATTAATGGGGTGTTTAGGTCCCCTACTGTAATTGTATTTTTGTTAGTTTCTCCCTTTAATTCTCTTAGTAGTTGTTTTACATACCTTGGTGCTTTCATTTTTAAGTGCATATATATTAGTAAGTGTTATGTCTTCTTGATGTATTTGTCCCATTCATCATTGTAAATGATTGTCTTTGTTGCTTGCCTTTTTTATCTTCAAGTCTATTTTGTCTGATATAAGTGTGGCTACACTTGCTTTTCTCTGGATACCATTTGCTTGGAATGTCATCGTGTATATTTGGCTGTATATTTGTCTTTGCAGCTGAGATGTGTCTCCTAAGAGCAGCACATAGTTTCGTTTTGGTTTTTTTAATTCATTCTTCCTCAGTGCCTTTTAATTGGTGTGTTCAGTCCACTTACATTTAGAGTAGTTCTTGATGTATGACAATTTCCTATCTCCGTTTTATCTTTTGTTTTCTGGTAGTTCTGTGTCTTGTTTTTTTTTTTACCCATGTGTTTCTGTCATTTCAGTTTGTTGGTATTCTATGATTTTGTTTTCTGCTTCCCCTCCCCCACCTTTTTTTATGTATGTGTCTCAGTTTTATGTTTTTATTAAGTTCTTAGCTCCATAATTTCTTTGTGGTTCTTTTTTATAGTTTTGGTGTCTTTGGTGAAGTACTCTTCTTGTTTATTGGTTTTATTTCTGAGCTCTTTGAATTGCTTTTCCGAGTTTTCTTGTATCTCATTGAGTTTTTCAGAACCGTATTCTTGAATTCTCTAATTTAAATCACAGTCTTTCATGTCTTTAAGTTTATTTTTTAGAGACTTTTTTTTCTGAACTCCCTTGTTACCTTGGCTATTTGTTGTGCTTGATAGATTATTTTCCTACCTGGGCATTTTATCTATCTATCTATCTATTTATTTATCTATTTATTTATTTAGTATTTGACTCCACTGTTGAGCTGGTTGATAAGTAGAAGGCTTTCTTTTGTTTTTCAGTAGGTAGTGCTGAAGCACAAGTTTTTATTTTTTCTTACTTGCACTGCTGTGTCTTCCAGGATATCTGTGGGTTATTACATATTAGCCATGGAAAATGCCCCATACCCCGGAATAGGTGGGCATTGTTCTTCAGACCCAGTTGCTTGATTCTCTGGGCATCACCACGGTGGTGGGATGTGGTGGTTCTCTATGGTTCTGTAGACCTATGTGTTCCTACTGCCACCTTCCTGTAGACGGAACCTGCAGGTGGAGCTGATCTAAGTCAACACAGCTGCTATCAAGGTCCCCTGGATTTGTGAGAGAGAGGGTGGATGGGGGCTAACAGGTTTGGGTGTCTATAGCTTTTTTCTTCTTAGTGGGTTTAGCTTCATTGAGTATAGACCACTTAGGCTGGAAAGTTTTTCCTGACCATTTGTGATCTGCCTGGATTTTACTTCCAGGCAGGTCAGGAAGATGGGGTGGGTATGTTCCTGCATCTGTGGAATCCTTTGTGAGTTTTGGAATGCTGCCACCCTTTGTACTGCTTCTCTGCCCCTGATCCTGGGCTCGGGCTCAGCCTCAGTGTGTACCCCGATTGCTGTCTCTGCCTTTTAAGTTTGCCCAGTAGGAGTTCTCCCCCTGCCCTTCACTGGAATTTCATCAGCCAGGGCCGTGGCAAGTCCCTGATTGGGTCTGACTCCTGTCTCTGTCCTTATCTAGCCTGTTTCTCCTATTCACCCAATAAGCCCACCACCTTCAGATATCTCAATGTAAGGAGCTCTCAGATGTGTTTCTGTGTTGGGCAGAGAATTGATGATTTGAGTTACAGCTGTTCATCTTGTTGTAACTTCAAGGAAAGAGACTGGAGGTCCTTTTATACTGCAATATGGCTGACATCATTGATCCAGATAATGAATTCTTAAAATTTTTAGTGGATAGGGCTCTATGCATTGTAATTCACTATGGGGTTTCCAGTGGCTTTCTCAGTAAGAGATATTACATGCTTTTGTCTACATATTTTTAAATGTTTATTCAGCTCTTAGTAGTTAACAATTTACAACTTCTTTTTGAAGTAGTTTTCAACTATTTGAAGTTAAAAATATATGAACTTATAAAACCCAAAGATAATTCCTATATTAAATATTCTGTGCTATAGAAAGGAGGACCTTTTAAAAATTACGAAATGATAAAAAAGAGGAAGCAAGTTGCAAGTGGACTATTTACTAATCAGCTGGAGTAGAATTCCTACGTTAAAGTACAAAACACAGCCCTTATTACAGCGACATGTGTTAGACTCAACTGATAGCCAGACCATGGAAAGATCAAGTAAAATGGTGTCTTGTCTCCAGGCCCAGTGAGCTTTTTGCCCTAATTTGTACAGGGCTTCAGAGTCATGGCCATGAGGGGTCCTGTCCTTGGTTTTCGTTCAGTGCTTTGTGTTTCACATAAAGGCCTTGGCTGTCCTTGTGTGACAATCTCAGATAATGGTTCCAAATATAAATTAATGTTTTAAATGAGAAGAAATAGATGGAATGTGGTGTTCTTTGACTCATGTTATTATTTTAATCTGCCCATCATTTGTGTTTTGGTAACTGGCTTTATTGTAGTTGAAGCTTTAAAATAAAGGGTGCAGTTCACATAATTTAATCAGCACATATTTACTCTCATCCTTTTGTATTTCTCCTACTTTTAGCACAGATTGGCCGCTCAGCTCTCCTAGTCCAGTAGATGCACCATCAGTTAAAATATGCAAAATGGATCCTTTCTCTACAAAGGAACGTATTGAAATCATAGCTCCTTCACCACAAAGAAGCAAGTCTTTTTCAGTAGGGATTTCCTGTGGTCACACAAGTTCATCTGAGAGCCACTTCTCTCCACTGGAATTTTCAGGACCAGACCATGGAGACACCAGTGAGTCAGCAGGTGCATTGTACAACTTCCAGGACAGTTGCCTTACAGACTGTGATGTGGAAGATGGTACTATGGATGGCAGTGATGAGGGGCACTCCTTTGAACTTTGTCCTTCAGAAGCTACTCCTTATGTAGGATCAAGGGAGAGAACCTCCTCTTCAATAGTATTCGAAGATTCAGGCTGCGGTAATGCATCTAGTAAAGAAGAGCCCAAAACCAGCCAAGTGCACATTGGCAACAATTATGCTAATAAAATAACTGCTACCAAGCATTCCAGTAGCAAATCTTCAGAACCTACTTTGTCTGTTTCTCTTCCAAGACCAACCTCTTTAAGTCTAGATCTCACTAAAAACACTGCAGACCAACGCCAACCCAGTTCACCGAAAGTGTATCTTTACATTCAGATGCAGCTGTGCAGAAAAGAAAACCTCAAAGACTGGATGAACAGCCGGTGCAGCATTGCAGAAAGGGAGAGGGGTGCCTGCCTGCACATCTTTCTGCAGATTGCAGAGGCGGTGGAGTTCCTGCACAGCAAGGGGCTCATGCACAGGGACCTCAAGGTCGGTACTTATGGAACATCACCCACAGGTCTCAAACTGACAGTCTGTGCAATACTTGCAATATTTGTCAGGTTTTAATAAAAGTACTTGTAAGCGTGGAAGAGAGAGAAGGCCTCAGGACCAGAGATCTGGGAAAGTAGCTTGAAGGCGCCTCCTGCAAAAGTAAGAAATCTCATGATTTAGAAATCTCAGGCAAATTGAGAATTCTCCTCTATAATATGTTTATGTGCATTTTACAGTAAAAAGTATTCCCAATCTCCTGAAGAAAAAAAGTTTTAGTAAAATCCAAACATTCCATTTTCTTACGGCTTTGAGTAACTCTGGCACAGATTCCCATTGTGTCCTGAACTAGCACATTGAAAGGGACCCAAGGGACAGTTTTCTTCATTAGCCAGCTCTGAGTTAGCACAAGTTTTATTCTTTTTGCCCCTATTCTTGAACTGTTTAGGTTTTGGGGGAGGAGGTGAGAAGCTGGGTGATAAAAGGTGACTAATGGTTAGCCAAGTGATTGTAACTCTAAAATCTTTGATTCTATCTTTAATATATAAAATATTGAATATTGTAGCAATGCCATATACTAAATTACATAAGATTCTTACTAAAACATTCATTATTCAGTATGTTTCTAAAATAAGTATATAAACTTATTTAACTAATTTTTGCCATATTCCATATGCTTATAGTGATCATTATAGTATACATAGATGTGTGGTAAATACATAAATATTTTTCTGATGGATGTTACTTAAATTCTTGATAGACTTGGACTCATTTTAAGTATTTTCAGTTTTGTTTTACATAACCATAAATTAGTTTCAGGCACCAAATTAGCTATTAGGATGAGTAATTTTCTTCTTAACGTCAGCAGTCAGTTTTTTAAATTCATGAATATTTTTTAAGAGTTTGGAGTAACAGGGACACTAATTAGAAATACTTCCTCCGTTCCAAAGTAATTGTTGTTAACGTATATCTAATCACTTCAGTGATTTTATGTGGGCCAAAAATGATTGTCAGGAATTACTGTGTGCCGAATGAAAAAAGTTCAGAGATTGATTTTGGTAGGAAGGGAGAAGACAGCTTCCAACAGGCCAGATATCCCTAACTTGAGAGAGTGTTGGCTGTTGGAATGTGGTGCATGTTTGTCATTTGATTGGAACCAGTTACCTGATATACACATTTTTCTTATAGTTAACACATAGTATATATCCAAAATGCAAAGTTGAAAGGCATGTCATTATGTTCTTACTAATTTTGAATATTCTGTTGATTTTGAAGTGTTAATGAGATGTTGGTGACTATTTGTTTAATGCTACAATGTTGTCTAAAGATTTCTCTTGTATGTCTATGCACCAAAATGATTTCAAGAAATTTATTTTCACTTTAATTTTTCTACATATCAAAAACATAATCTTTTGTAAAGATAAATTCTGTTTAAACATTTCTAGTGAACCAGAAAAAAAATTCCTCCATAATTTTTATTCCTAGTCCAAAAAGTTAATGCATTGTGTCCTTTCTGACCTAAGTCTCTGAGCTCAAAGTTAAACATAGGACCTTTCCCTTTTTTATATTTTGGTCACATTTTTGTCATTACCACTCTCTGGTCCCTGATTCTTCAGACTTAATTGTAATCTTCTCTTCATTCAAGCTACGCTGGGTTTTTCTCCATTTCTTTTTAATTTTTTAAAGATTTTATTTATTTATCTTTAGAGGGGAAGGGAAGGAGAGAGGGAGAGAAATATCAATGCATGGTTGCCTCTTGTGTGTGTCCCCTGCCGAGAACCTGGCCTGCAACCCAGGCACGTGCCCTGGCTGGGAATCAAACCACGATTCTCTGGTTTGCAGGCCCGTGCTCAATCCACTGAGTACACCAGCCAGGTCTCAGTTTCTTAAATACACAGTGTCCTCATAGAACCTGATATTTCTCCTTCATAATCCTCATCACAATTATATTACTGTCTTCTGGTCTCCACAGGGGTGAGAGCTGTGTCTGTTTGTTCACCTATTATATTCTTAGCACAATGCCTGATGATTTTATTTGAATATTGTTTGCAACCAAAAGCATTTATAATAATTTAAAAGAAAATTTTGTTGCTCATATAATTCTATAATTTGAATATTGTTTGCAACCAAAAGCATTTATAATAATTTAATCTAAAAGAAACTTTTGTTGGCCCATGTAGCTGAACTATCTAAAATTTAAGTAAAGCTTTATCTAAGATTAAGGTGATATGGCCAGAATGTTGTCTTCCCCCACCCTCCACCTTGCCCTGTTTCTAGTTTCTATTTTAAGGTAGGCTCTTCCTTCACAGTCTCAGCACTGCTGCCAGCTATTCTCAGGGCTACACATTTTTTAAAAATTGTATTTTATTGACTGTTCTAATACAGTTGTCTTGATTTTTCCCTTTTTGCCCCCTTTCACTCAGTGCCCCTACTCCCTCAGGCAGTCCCCTCACTGTTGTTTATCTCCATGGGTCATGCGAATAAATTCTTTGGCTACTCCACTTCCTACACTGTACTTTACATCCCCAAGGCTATTCTGTAACTATCTATTTGTACTTCTTAATCCCCTCACCTCTTCACACATTCTCCCCCTCCCTCTCCTATCTGGCAACCATCTGGTAACTAACTTCTTTTCTCTCCCTGCTTTTAATAGTCTGTCTTTATTTTTTAACCTTTGGCATCTTAACTATGATATGTCTTAGAGTGGGCCTGTTTGCATCCATCTTGTTTGGGACTCTCTGTGTTTCCTGGACTCGTATGTCTGTTTCCTTCACCAAATTAGGGAAGTTTTCTTTCACTATTTTTTCAAATAGATTTCCGATTTCTTGCTGTTTGTCTTCTTTAGGCACCCCTGTGACACAAATGTTGGACCTCTTGAAGTTGTCCCAGACGTTGTTTATACTATTCTCATTTTGGGGGGATTCTTTTTTCCTTCTTGTTCTGCATGGTTGTTTCTTTCTTCCTTATATTCCAAATCATTCATTTGATTCTTGGCTTCATCCATTCTACTGTTAGTTCCTTGTAAATTGTTCTTTATTTCAATTAGTGCCTCCTTCATTTCTGAACAAGTATTTTTTCTGCTGCTGAGGTCCTCACTAAGTTCCTCAAGCATCCTTATAACCAGTGTTTTGAACTCTGCATCTGATAGACTGTTTTATTTTCTTTTCTGGAGGTTTTTTGTTTTTGTTTTTTTAATTTATCTTTAGAAGGAAAGGAGAGAGAGAAATATCAATGTATGGTTGCTTCTCATGCATGCCCTGACTGGGTCTTTTCTGGAGTTTTGATCTGTTCTTTCATTTGGGCCATGTTTATCTCCTCATTCTGGCAGCCTCCCGGTGTTTGTTTCAATGTATTAGGTAGAGGAGCTTTGACTCTGTGTCTTAGCACTGTGGCCTGATGTAGTAGGTATCTTGTAGGGTCCAGTGGTAAAGCCTCCCCTATCACCCAAGCTGGGTGCTCGAGGTACACCCTTTGTGTGGGCTGAGTACACTGTCTTCTTGTAGTTGATCCTTGGTTGCTTTTGGCAGGTCAGTGGGAGAGATTTACTCAGACCAGTCAGCTGCAAAAGCTAGCTGTGACCACTGACCACCAACCTCTACCTTCCATGGAGGGTCAGCTGTGTAGGGTGGGGGCAGGGTGGTGGTACTCTGAGGTAATCTGTAGTTGTCCACTGGGTGTGTTGGCCCTGGGTTTCCTGGGTGGCGCAGGCCAAGGTCAGCTCCCACCTGTGTTTTGCCCAGGGCACCAGGCCGGAGGTTTAAAGCAGTCTGAGGTAATTGTTACTTGTGCTGGGTTTGGACATTCCCAGGTAAAACCAACCTGTGATTCTAATCTGGCTGTAGCGAGGGCTCACTGAAGCCAACCGTTGCTTGTTTGATAGGATTTAGGAGTCAAGGCCAGCCATTCTTATGGAATAGCAGTTTAGGTGGACCCGTAAATTGGGTGGAGCCTCTGGAGATCTCCAAGCTAGGTTGCACAGTGTTAGCTGGGTTGATGGAGTCTCAGGGATGGCACCAGGTTACCTGCTCTGTGGGGGAAGGGTTAACAAAGGGACAATGGCCTCTGCTCACCTTGATGCCAGACACTTCAGTTTTTCCCTGTATACCACTGATGCCTTTCCAGCTGCGGTCCTGGTGCTAGAGTTCAGAGAGGGTAAGTCTGAATAGGTGAGTCCTTTGTGAGTTCTTTAAGAGGAATTGCTTGGGGCTCTAGCAATTTCTGCCAAGAACTCAATCCCCTCTGGTTTTCACAGCCAGAAGTTGTGGGACTTACTTCTTGGCACTGGAATCCTGGGCTGGAGGTCCTAGGATGGGTCTGGGACTCCTTGCTCCTGAGATATTGCTCACAAATTTTTTTCCATGTGGGTGTGGGGCCAGCACTTTCCACTTCTGCACCCCTCCTACTTGTCTGGATGAATGTGGTTTCTTTAATTCCGTAATTGTCAGACTTCCATTTAACTTGATTTCTGAGTGATGGCTGTCCTATATTTTAGTTGTAATTTTGATATGGTTGTGCAAAGAGATGAGCCATGTCTGCTTACGCCACCATCTTGACTGGAAGTCCCAGGGCTACACATTTTAAGTCTTTGGAGTGATGAGATAGGGAATAAGGGAGAAAAGTATCTCTTCTCCCCCACCATTGACTGGAAGTTCTGAGTTTCCTACCAATTGATAAACCAAGGACACATACTTATCCCTAAACCAGTGTCCTGACCAGGGGATGGGATTATGCTGATTGCTTTATGCAGCCATGGGTTTGCTGCATAGCTGGGAAGAAGAGAGTTCCCAAAGTCAAGTCAGGATACTTCTAGTGGAAGTACAGGGGAATAGATGCTAGAGAGCCTAAACATTAAAAATAAATAAATTTTGAAAGTCTATTGCAGTGTTCAGTAAATAACACTAGATTATGGCAGGCAGAGGAATTGTGAAATTTAAGGTAGCATAGTTTATTTTTGTTTCTCATGTAAGGTTATTTGTGGGAGAATGGAAGGTTATTACTATAGACTTTGGTTGTGTGCAGTAAGTTTATTAGTCAAAATTGTATACTGTCATTTTGGAGTTTGGGAATAAAATGTTATTTGTCTGGCAGAATTTGAAGATTGATGAAATTCAGTTTCATGAGCTAAATGGCTTTCTTTTTCCTTAGGTCTATGAATGGTGGTCATGTGAACAGAGGTTAGAGTAGGCTCTGAGGGAAGATATATTTCATGTAAAGGATGGACTTTAAGTGGCCCATGAGAAATTTGGTTACCTATATCTTTTAAACAGTTGTACATGAGAGTTTATAACTTGGGACAGAGGTCTTAGAATACATGGAAGCATATGGATATTAGAAGAGGCAGCACAAGGTTATAGTTATGAGCTCTTATTCTCCTTGATAGCCTACTTGTCTCTCTCAGACATAAACCGAGTATCAGTCTGTTTCATTCATTTATCAAATAGTAGTGATTGCTACCATAGGGCACAAACTACAATGACTGCTGGACCTGTGGTAAGGCAGCTGACATCCTTTTCTCCTAGAATCAGACTGCCTGAGTTTGAATCCCTGCTTTAGCACCTACTATTACCTGGCTAATATTGGGCCATTTACTGCACTTCTCTGGGCCTCTGTTTTCACATCTGTAAAAGGAAGGACTAATAGAACTAATAAGAGTCCTTATTAGGACTCTTATATGTGGAAACACTTTCCCTTCTCGCACAACCAAATCTAAAAACAACAAAGTTTTAGCAACAATAAATGCAGCCAAACTACAGAAAATTGAACAAGGAAGGACTAGTAGAACTAATCTATTAGTCCAAGGAAGGACTAATAGAACTAATCTGTTAGTCCAAGGAAGGACTAATAGAACTAATAAGGTTGCGAATTGACAGTGGTAAATAGATTAGAATGGCTTTTGGCTTATTTTAAGTGGTATATATGCATTTGCTATTATTTTTACTATTATTATAAGCATGGCTTCAGTCATAAATATAGAGAAGCTTGACAGAGAGAAAATGTATAGACTAGTAGGATTGAGCATTAAGTACCCCAGGCCCTAGGTACTGTGAATCTCTAAGGGTTGAAACAGATGCTGTTTGCTAACTCATGATCTAAATGGCTAAATGTAAATTCTAACTCCCTCTGCTACCCTTCCATTTTGTTTACTCACAGTACTTGTCTGGCATGGAAAGATTGTTCTTATTTTCATATTAGGTCATTTTAAAGGGAAACATGTTTGAAAATATCTAGTTTCTTGTATTTACTTTCTGTTGTCATTTTAATAAATTCCCTTCACTGCTCTCCTGTCGGTACACATCCATTGTGCTTTTGTCTGTTTTGTTTTTTTCCAGCCTTCCAACATATTCTTTACAGTGGACAACGTGGTCAAGGTTGGAGACTTTGGATTAGTGACAGCAATGGACCAAGATGAGGAAGAACAGATGGTTCTGACTCCAATGCCAGCATATGCGAGACACACAGGACAAGTAGGGACCAAACTGTATATGAGCCCAGAGCAGGTGAGGTTTTATTGTTTTCCTTCTTAATTGAAAGTATATTTTTAATGGACTTCCGCCAAGATGGAGGCGTAGGTGAAAACACTTTCCCTTCTTGCACAACCAAATCTAAAAACAACAAAGTTTTAGCAACAATAAATGCAGCCAAACCACTCAGCTAGACCAGTAAGAGGGGTGGAGCCAGCAGTGGAGCAGGTCGGGCAAAAAAGATCTCCCAACCCACACAGCCAAGGGCAAATCCCAGGTGTGGGGTAGCGATGGGCAGACCCAGTGAAGGTGCAAGGCTGCTGGCTGACCGCGGTCACACATTTGCACGCAGATAAACCAGTGAAGGAGCGAGCAGTGAGACAGACCAGGCAGACCCCAGGGGTGGGAAGGAGAAGAGGGGACTGCTATTGTCCCTCTCTGACCCCGCCCCCACATACAGCATCACAAACCAGTGACCTGGGTGGCCCTGCCCTGGTGAACATCTAAGGCTCCTCTCCTCATATGTAACAGGCGCGAACAGATCAAAACATGGCTCAAGAAGAACTCAGAGCCCCAGAGCCCATAAATGTAAGTGAACAAGAAATTGCCAAACTATCAGAGGCACAGTTCAAAACACTGATGATCAGGATGCTCACAGAACTGGTTGATTTTAGCCACAAATTAGAGGAACATATGAAGGCTAAACTAATTGAAATGAAGGGAAATACACAGGAAACCAATAGTGATGGAAAGAAAACTGGGACTCAGATCAAGGGAGAGGACCAGAAGGAAGAAGAAAATGACCAAACAAAAATATGAAGAAACAAGAATTCAAAAAACTGAGGAGAAGCTAAGGAACCTTCAGGACATCTTTAAACGCTCCAACATCCGAATTATAGAGGTATCACAAGGGGAAGAGGAACAGCCACAAGTGGAAACCTTATTTGAACAAATAATAAAGAAGAACTTTCCCATTCTGGCAAAGGAAATAGACTTCCAGGAAATCCAGGAAGCTCAGAGAGGCCCAAAGCAGTTGGACCCAAGAAGGAACACACCAATGCACATCATAATTACATTACCCAAGATTCAAATGAAGGAGAGAATCCTAGAAGCAGCAAGAGATAAGGGGACAGTCACCTACAAAGGAGTCCCCATCAGACTGTCAGCTGATTTCTCAAAAGAGACTTTACAGGCAAGAAGGGGCTGGAAAGAAGTATTCCAAGTCATGAAATCCAAAGACCTACAACCAAGATTGCTCTATCCAGCAAAGCTTTCATTTATAATGGAAGGGCAGATAAAGTGCTTCTCAGATAAGATCAAGTTCAAGGAATTCATCATCACCAAGCCCTTATTATATGAAATGTTAAAGGGACTTACCTAAGAAAAAGAAGATAAAAAAGATGAACAGTGAAAGGACAGCAAACACACAGTTATTAAGAACCACACCTAAAGCAAAAGCAAACTAAGAGGACAGCTAGATCAGGAGCAAACCATAGAAATGAAGATCACATGAAGGGGTAGCAACAGGGGAGTGGGAGAAGGAGAGGGGGGAGAAGGTACAGAAAATAAGTAGCATAGACCGTAGATAGAAAATAGATAAGGGGTAGGGCAAGAATAGTAGGGGAAATATAGAATCTAAAGAACTTGAGACACGTGGTCATAAACCAAAGGGGGAGGGGAATAGAACAACTGTAATGGCATAATCAATGAAATAAAATAAAAAGAAAATAGATTTTTAGCATGACAGCAAGCCAGATATCCCCCATGACTTGCCATCTATATTCTACTTAAAATACCCAATAAAATGAAATTTGAAAAGTATGAAAACTGGTGGTAGTGTTTGTTGCACAGGCAACACAGCTAGGGTCAGTTTCTACAACTTGAATTGGAATGAATTAAAACAACACTCATCATTCATAAAACATGCCCATCCTCTGAACCAGAACCTGAAAGCAACCATAAATTTATAAAGAGACTTTGAATGCCCTCTCCTAAACTTAATTCCACTTCACCTTGTGTGAACTGTATAGGAACTATATTCAAAGCCAGGAAGAGTCAGAGGTACTGTACTGGGCTGTGCCCTATAATAATTCAAAGGCAACTTGTGGGGGTGGCTTTGCCCTCAGGTCCCTCCATCTACCATGGATAAAAGCACTACCAAGACATGATCTGCTTGGGGAGGAGAGGTGGCCAATTTCTCAGAGGAAAAAGGCCAGGAGCCCCTTCCTCCAGGGGCTTTTATTAGGTTGTAATACACAGGAATACAGGCAGTAAGGATCAAACAGTAGATAATATTTCAAAGAAATCTGAGGGCTTAGTGTGAGTCAGAGTCTGTCAGGAAAGGGGGTTGCAGAAACTTTGGGAGACATACTCATTTCCTGCTTGGACACTTAACATATGAATGAAAGCACTGTTAGCAAAGCAGGCTTCACAGGACTTTTAGGAACTCTTTCTTATGCCTGATCACCCCGGATCCTGCTCTGGATCCCACTCTGGATCCTGCTCTAGCTGGTAAGAGGCTGCACCGCCTCCCCCATCACAGGTTTTCAGGCTTAAGTGGATTAGAGCCAGGAAGGTCTTCTCCCAGAGGAAATGGGGACTCGGGCTATGTCAGAATAGCCAGGGGACAAGGGTTCATCACTCCCTCTTTGTTGCAGGCCCCCCCCCAAGTTCTTCCATGATGACCTCCCACATGATCATGTCTGGCTTAGGTTGCCCCTCCTCTGAGGAGTCTTACCTATTATGGACTAACTGCTTTGGGGGCAGTGGGAGAAAGCAGAGACAGCGTTTCCTACTAGAGACAAGCTTTGTCTCTTTAGTGGCTCGCATTCCAGAGGTCGCTCACTCAGCCTTAGCCATGGCAGGTAGTTACAACTCCTGAAACCAGGCAGAGCAGTTTTCAACAGCAACTTTCAGAATGTACTAGGGCAGTAAATAAAGGTTGATAGACTGGAATATCTTGCCTTGTGGGATGTTTAGTCGCCAATGGAACAGGACGGAGATTGGAAGAGTGGTGGGAGCAGGGTGTCCTGGGAGCTTTGGAGGAGCATGCCCATCCACCACCAGGCTAATGATACGTACAAGCTTATCTGTGCTTATCAGCCATTCTCAAACTTTATGGTCTCAGTACCTATTTATACTTGTAAACATGATTGAGAGCCTAAGAGTTTTTCTTATGAGATTTTATTTATCAGTATTTGCCATATTAGAGATTAAAACTGAAAAATTTATAAAATTTCATTGATTCAATTAATAGTAATATTAAACCTATCTCATCGTAAGGATATTTTTATGATAAATATCCCTCTCCCTGAAAAAATTGGTGAGAAGAATGGCATTCATTTACATTTTTATAAATCTCTTTAATATTTGATTTAAAAGACCTAGATTCTCATATGTGCTTTTCATTCAGTTTGTTATAGTCTGTTATTTTGTCTGAAGTGAATGAAGAAAATCTGACCTCACAAAAGTATGTAGTTGGAAAGGGAGGAATGTTTTAATAGAATTTTCAGGTAATTATGAGTATTCTTTGATAGTGAGTCAAAATTCAGTAGGTGACAGCTTCTTAAAAGCCATTTGTCCTGTGTAGTCTAGAACCATATCATTGAATGTTTCCTACTCTGTTAAATATCCTTATTTTATTTTACACTTTTTTTAATTTAAAAAATTAATATGCTTATTGATTTTTAGAGAGAAACATTGATGTGAGAGAGAAACATCGATTGGTTGCCTCACATACATGCCCAGACAGGGACTGAAGCCACAACCTAGGTATGTGCCCTGACTGCAACTCAAAACCCCTAGCCTTTTGGTGTATAGGATGATGCTCCAACCAAGTGAATCATGTCGGAATGGGCCATTCTGCACTTTGAATGGATCTTTTACCCATCCAGGGAAGCTAGATGAAAAGTATACTAGGCCTTATTTATAGTCAGTATTTGAGCATTTATTGATAAACAAATTAAAGTAAGATATACTTTCATTTCAGACTTCTAGACCACAAAGAAACATCAGTGTATTTGAAAATAGAACTTGTGACTGTTTCACTATAATCACAACACAGTTTTAAAAAGGTGATAGTGGTTTGTTTTGATTTTCGGTTTTTGTTTGTTTAGGCTAATGTAAATTTAAAACACCTTCCTAAGTACCTATTGGGTGAATGATAAAATAAAAATGCTTATGCAAAATAATAAGAAAAGAATGAAAGAGGCCCTGGCCAGGTAGCTCAGTTGGTTAGAGCATCTTCCTGATATTCCAAGGTTGTGGGTTCAGTCACCCATCAGGGCACATATAGTAATCAACCAAGGAATGCATAAATAAGTAGAACAACAAACCGATGTTTCTCTTTCCCCTTTTCTCTCTCTAAAAACAGTAATAAAATAAATTTAAAAACAATAAAAAAGAAAACAATGAAATAAATGAAAAAATATTGAAATTCACAGAAAGCTATCAGCATTCTATTTGGAGATAAATTTATTTGAAAGGCTTTCATTATATAATACTGTATGAGTGATATAGCATTCCGCTCTGTAGGATGTTAACATTCTGCAGGATGTAAACAGGAATAACAACTCATGCTGATGAAACAGTGAAACAGCATTATGGTAGATTTTAAGTTTTAAGTGGAAAAGGTAATCCTCCCTAGCAATCCACTTAAAAGAGGAAAACCACAAATAAATTTAGGAATTAAAAGTAATACTGGCAGAGATGTTAATTTATAAGAAATTTATTATACATAGTAGATCATTTGCAACCAAAAGTATCTAAACTGGCTTGAGTGAAAAAAGAAATCTATTAGCCCAAGCAATTCAATGATCCTAGTCAAGTAATGGTAGCCATAACCTGGAAACAGGAGAAATTAAAACTGTATGAAATACCAAAGTACTGTAAATATGTATTTAATATCCATATGAAAAAAGGTAGGAAGTAAGAGCCATCAAATATCAACCGTCACTGCTTCTGTGTAGGAGCTTTGAATGGTATTTTGGACTTTTCTCTGTTTTTCAGTATTTCTCCATAGGCATGTATCAGAATTGATAATAAACTATATTTTAATAGCATTATATTTTGACTCACCATTATTTAAGAGGCTGGAAATACACCTTCACACTTGGGAAGTATTGTGACAACAAAATAGGAATGACTAAATGAAAGGAATTCTACCTGTATGCATGTACCTGTGAAGGGCTCACTAGATGGAGTCCCCACCTCCCCAAACCCTGTGTGAAATAGATGACTCTCCCTCCACTCCCTTTCAGGATCTCTCATGTTATACTGTTTATTCTCGTAGCATTTTTAATTCTCTAAAAGTAAGTATTTTGCTTCCCCTCTAAAATAATAAGCTATCAGAAAGGGACCTTCTTTTTTTTGTTGTTTTTTTTTTAACTTTAACCCAACACCTAAAAACAATGCCTAGAATTCAGCATAAATGTTTGTTGGGAAAGTGAATGTGAGTATCTGTGAATAAACACCAGGTGGACAGTCATGGCCACCACATACACACACTGCTGTGCTATTTTGGCTTGTGGCTAATGTATGTGTGTGTGTATACACGTGTGTGTATTTGTTGGAGTTAAGGTTTGCCATCTAAGAAATTAAGAAAGGAAGAGATTGACAACAGGTGATACCATATTTGTAATTATTGAAGATACTAAAAAATTAAGGGTAGATATAGAAGTTTTGTTATGGCAGTGTATGATAGTTAAAATCAGGTAGTTAAAATGGACAGTCTTAATTTTCTTAAACCTTATCGTTCTTCAGTATTCTTAAATATGGAAACTGTCACTTTATTAAATGTCACTTTCAAAAGTCAAAGTACTTTGGTTATATGAAATATCTTTCTCAAGCCTCAGAAGCAGTACTAAGATATTGTTTCAAAATATTTTTTTATCAAAGCTCTTAATTTTCTTTCTAGGAGAAAATGAGCAGAGACCACACTTTGTTCTTAGTGTAATTACCAGGAAATACTACAGCCCAAGTTCTAGGATTACACAATTCTAAAACAATCAAGTTAAACTCTGAAAGGGTGTATTATATTCTGCCCTTTTCTTTGATATTTATTTTCACTTATTTTTTAGATGTTTTGTAAAGATTATTTTACATGTAATCATGAAACTACATTTGTTTTTAAAAGTACTTAATAATGCTTTTCCCCTCATATGTTAATCTATTCTCTTTGTAGGGAATATGGGAAATATAGGAATGTATAAAGAAAACTGAAAATCACTTACTAAACCTCTAATCCATTAGTAGTGGTTACTTATTTCCTTTTATGAAGTACACATACACATATACATCTTATAACATTTTCATATGTACCTTATTTTGGAAAACAATTGATATTCTATGTGTAAATTTTTGGATATAATGTTAAAATGTAAGCATTTCCCATAGTATTAATATTCTTATAAAGCCTTTTTGGCTATATATTATTTCTGTTAAGCAATTTATTCAATATTTGTTTTGGACATTTTAGTTACTTGGAACTTCTGCTGTTGGGAATATCATTTAGATAACTAGCCCTGTGCACAAATATCTGTCCCCATTTCCATCTACCCTAGTGTGGATGGAATTAATTAGGGCCATCAAGTGGGAGTAAACTTTATTGCCAGTTGCTTTTTATAAAGGTATGTTAGTTTATATTCTCCAAATATTGTATGAGGGTGTCCTTTTCATCACTATACCCTGTAAGCCCAGGGATAAGAAGTAAGGGAAGAGAGGAAGATGATGTAGCTGATGCCGACTTTGAGATGACTTTTCATCTGATGTTTTATATTCTGTAAGCACAGAGGCAGGCAGCTTGTGGGAGTAACCAGGGGGATAGGTATCAAGTGCTGTTTAGAGAGGAGGTTGTGGAGGGTTTGTCATCCTGGCTACTACCTGTGACTCCCCAGTGAAGAAATGCTGGTATGGTGCTTCCAGAGTGACACTCTTTTTTTAGTTTTGCCAAATGTCAAGTTATGTGCCTGAAGTAATTTCCACAAATAAAAAGGTTTTTACTAGGTCACTTTTAATTTGAATGAGGCTTTGCTGTGAGAGTATTTGGGTTATAACTTACCTGTTTATTTTAATAAATAAGCACTTACTGAAGGGCTTGTCTATATCAGTGCTGGGTTGTGATAATACAAAAGAAGCAGTTCCCTTCCCTCCAGGACTTCATCTCTAGTTGTGAAGAACAGGAAATATGTACATGAAAACTACAAGTAAGAGTGCAAAGTGATCCATAATTAAGTGCCATAATGAGGACTAACCACAGTTGATTAGTGGGTTGGAGTAATGAAGATTTTCTCGTAAAAATAGGTGAGGGCTAAATGATTAGAAATGAGAGATCTGCCTTAGATAGTGTTCACTTTGAAAAACTTCACCTCGGGTAGTTGAGCAGTTTTCATCAGCTCCCACAAACTTTTTTTAGCATTGCAAGGCTCCAGGTTTCTGCCAGACCTGATGCATATCTCAGAGGTATTCCTGGGCTTTCCTTCTGTGATGTTGAGTAGTTTAATTACTCCTGCTCTAGTGAGTTGAAGAAAAGAGGCTTACAAGATTAACTCTTTGTTAACATTTTCACAGATATATTTAAACCATTAGGTGACTAAGTTAACTTTGGGATTCACCAATGCCATATTATCAATTACATTCAATATCGTTATCAATTATATTATCTCTTAATATTTTTCTAATTACTTCTTCTTTATATGGGATTTCAGATTTATGGAAACAACTACTCTCATAAAGTGGACATCTTTTCTTTAGGCCTCATCCTGTTTGAGTTGTTGTACCCATTTGGCACTCAGATGGAGAGAGTCAGGGTAAGTTCTCCCCATTTCAAAAAAGGTGGAAAAAGTGTTCTTGAATTTACAAAAGAAGAATGTTAGAGGAGAATAAGTTATTCTTAATACCAGCAGATTAGTTAAGTAAAAGTGAAAGAAGTTACGTGAGCTACACAGGGAGGGTTTGTAAACAGCTTGCCTATACTTAAAGCTCAGTCTTCAAAAATTGTTTAGTTGAATTGTTTTGTTCCTTGTTGTTAACTAAAATTCATCACAACAGCATTCAGTACTCAGTAAGTTTGTAATAAGTGCAAAGCTAGGGAACCCACATAGTAATGGAGGTGTGGGAAGAGGGGAAGTGATGGCAGCAGTGGTTGGTCAGAGGAGAATATTCCAGAGGACAAGTGGCCACACACTCATACACTTAAAAACTGGAAAACGAAGTGTAATTATTTTTTTCCTCTCAAACCATGATCATTCTTTAAGAAAGATAGTACTGAATGTTGTAAAAATAGGCCTCTGCCACATTCTTCCCCACCCTTCATAAGTAGTAATCCTCAGCTTGTCCCTAGTACTTACTTCCCTACTTCCAAAATTTATGCTGTTATCACCATTTCTCTACCAGTTTTAGATCTTATCTATTGATTGCTGGCCAGGTAGAAGAGGATGTAGGTCTCATATATAGCAAAAGGACTCATATCTTCTAACCAAGAGGACCTACCAAAATGAATAAATATCAGAACATCCTAAAAGCTTCCAGAAAGGGATATTAAAAAGTCCAACATATCTAAAGGATCAGGGTCATATGGCTTCGAAGGACCCTTTTAAGAATGTAAAAATACAGTCTATAGAATGGGTAAAAATATTTATGAATCATATATCTGATAAGTTCCTAGTATCCAGAATATATAAAGAACTATTACAATTTGACAACAAAAAGACAAACAGTCCAATTTAAAAAATGAGCAAAGGAGCAAAGGACTTAAATAGACATTTCTCCAAAGAAAAGTTTACAAATGGCCAATTTAAAGAATGAGCAAAGGAGCAAAGGACTTAAATAGACATTTCTCCAAAGAAAAGTTTACAAATGGCCAATAAGCACATTATTAATTAGAGAAATATAAAACAAAACCACAATGAGATAAAGTGTTGGCAAGGATCTGGGGAAATTGGCGCCTTCATACATTGCTGATGGGACTTCAAAATGGTGCAGCTGCAGTGGAAACTGTAATAATTACTCAAAAAGTTAAACAGAGTTACATGTGATTCAGCAATTTCACTTCTAGGTATATACCCTAGAAATGAAAGCATGTGTACCCCAAAATTTGTACACAGATGTTCATAGTAGCATTTTCATAATAGTCAGAAGGTAGAAACAATCCAACCAGTTGATGTATGGCAAAACAAATGTGGTATACCCATGCAATGGAATATGATTCAGCCATGAAAAGGAATAAAGTACTGATCTATGCTCCAACACAGGTGAACCTTGGAAATATTGTACTAAGTGAAAGAAGCCAGACACAAAAGACCAATATTGTATGAATTGATTTATATTAAATATCCAGAATAGGCAAATCTTTAGAGACCAGGTAGATTAGTAGTTGCTGGGGTTTGGGGATAGAATGGGATGGGGAGTGACTGCTTAATCAATATGGGGTTTCTTTTTGGGTGACAAAATGTTCTGGAATTAGATAGTAGTGGTGGTTGTAAAACATGCATAGAATAAAAATCACTGAGTTATATACTTTAAAATGATTAAAACAGTGAATTTTTAATATGCATTTTATTTCAGTTGAAAATATAATAAAGAAAAGCATGTAATTGTGGGGAAAAGTTTTGGTTAAATGAAGTCAGTATTTCTCTTGACCATGAAAATACTGTTCTATGCTAGATCAAATATACTCTTTGTCTTTCTGATGTAATCCTTTTTTTTTTTTAAGCATTCCCTTTTCTCAATTGCTTAGTTTTCTGAACTTCTGTTGTAATTTTTAATAAATGTTCAAAGTCTGTTGTATATCAAACAATATTTCCTCTGGGTTTCAATGTAGTTTACTTCTCTATCACTAGGGCAGATGAATGGGTAGGTAGGCAGGCAGATAGATGATTGATTGATTGATAGATAGATAGGTAGGTAGATTTTTGGGGGGAGTCTTCTCAAAGCTGTTTTCCTTCAGTTTGTTGTGATTCCCACCCCTAGACCTTCTGTAAATTGTCAACCAAGGATGTACTTCCTTACCTTCCTGGCTTGGATTCATGTTTTCCCCTTTTTCTTGTACTATCCTTTATTTCTCTAGAGCACATTCTGCTATAAATTCCTCAGAAAGAATGTATGAGATTTCTAGATTAACATTTTTAGAGTCCTCGAGTATGTGAAAATGCATTTTTTCCCCATCCTCACACATAATCGATAAATTTTCCAGGTTTCAATTTTAGTTTTGGAATAATTTTACCCAGAATGTTGAGGGCTTTATAGCTTATAGTGCTAGATTTGTGTAGCCACCACTGCAGTCTAGACACAGAACTGTTCCATCAGCACAAAAAGTTCCCTTCTACTACCTCTTTATAATCACACTTTCCTCCGTACCAAAATCTAACTCGGGTGTTTTTAACGATTTTTTTTCTCGTGTTAACAGTCCTTAGCTGTTCATGTTTAAGAATAGGGCTCTAAAATGGACACTAGAATGGACTTCACTATAAGGACTACAATTCAGTTCTTACCTAGGGGTGTGGTAGAGAACTTCCTACATATCAGCATCTATGGACCTTTATTTACTCTACAACAACCATTTTCTCCAGAGAAGTGGCTTTCCTTATCCTGAAAGAGTGTGGATGGGTGGGCATGTATGCAGATCATCCTACTGTTCCATGCCCACCCCAGCATACACCTTTCCTTTCTATTGAGTGACTCTAAGTCTGGACTTCCTTGGTTCAGTTTCTCCAGAAAATAAAGCTCGTATGTTTATAGGGGGATGTATCACTCCATATACATACTTGCAGATAGTTTTCCTGCTCTCATCCTTGGCCTCCCCCCCACCACCTGCAGGTTCTGCACAGCTAGTCCACTCCCTGTTCACTTGCATTATCCCTGTTCACTTGCATTATCCCAGCAGGTAGCTCTGCTTACCTTCCTCTCTTCAGCAAAAGTAGTTGCTATGTTTCTATCTACTTCCTGTCTTCCATAAATTTGACTTTTCTTCCAGTGTTCTCATCCTTATAGACTTATTTATGTATTTCACATTCTTTCGCAGTTGTTTCAGTGCAAATGTTTACTGAAAATGTAGCAGAAAATCTGCCATGTTTAGCCAAAATCTCTCTGAAATTCTCTTAGTGAATGTAAAACAGACCATTCAGTGATTTGAGCAAGGCCCTTTTTAAAATTGACTTTATTGAGCTACACTTTGTTACAGTTGCATGAGTTTTGCCAAGTTTATATACCCATATAATCATCACTACATTCAAACTATGGAACATTTCTATCACCTGAGAAACCTTCCTTTTCTCCTTCCCAGTCAATCCCATACCACCATCTCAGGCTTTGTCTTTTCTAAAGCTCCATGTAAATGGAATCTGTCAAGACACACATTCTTTTGTGTCTGCCTTCTTTGATTTACCAAAAAGTTTTCAGGACTCATTCATTTTATTAGATGTATCAGTAGTTTCTTCCTTTTTATTAGTAATATTCCAATTGTGTGTACCACAGTTCATGTATCCATTTACCTATTGAGAAGCATTTATGAATAAAGACACTGTGGGTATTTGTGAACAAGTTGTTTTGTAGACACATGTTTTCATTTGTCTTAGGTACTTACCTAGGTAGGATTGATAAACTATGTGGTAAGTGGTTTAACTTTATAAGAAAGTGCCATTTGCATTCCTACCATCAGTGCATGAGAGTTCTGGTTCTTTCATGTCCTTGTCAACACTTAAGTTTCAGTCTTCACAATTTTAGCCATTCTAGTACAGGCATAATAAAATCATAATGTGGTTTGTGTTTGTATTTCCCTGATGACCAATGACCTTGACCAGTCCTTTTCAAGTCCTTTGCCAGATAGCTAGCTGTATTGTGAGTACTTTGTTTTAGTCTGTGGCTTGCCATTTTATTTTTTTATTTGTGTATTTCAAAGCTCAGCAGGTATTACTTTTGAACTTCCAATTTATCAGCCTTCTCCAGTATGCTATGCTTTTTTTAAACAACTTACCATTTCCCCTATTGAATTATGGTCATGGTGTTGTTGCAATTTTAAGTTTTAACATAAAAACCTTTGGTTTAAAATGTTATATGATTAAACATTACTTTAGTGAGTTCAGACTCAAGCATTTATCTTCACTTAATTTGGTATGACCTTCCTATTAGTAATGAAACTCTCCCTTCTAGGTCCTGTAGCACAGATTGTTCTAGTTCCTGTTTTAGTAGGAAGTAACAAATGCCAACCTAGTTGTTACTTTTTTTAAGCACACTCCAGCTTATTTCTTTCTTTGTTTTTAAATTTATATTTTTATTTTGATTGAATGTATTGGGATGCCATTAGTTAATAAAATTATATAGATTTCAGGTGTACAATTTTGATACCTCATCTGTATATTGTATTTTGTGTTCACCACTCCAAGTCATGTCTCCTTCCATTACTATTCCTCCTCTCTTTACTCTTTTCTACCTCTCCCCACTCCCCCTTTTCAGTTTATTTCCTAAGAAATATAAAGACTTGCTTGCTTTATTTCTAAAAATTGGTTTTTGTCATCATCACAAAAGAAGTATTGGGTACTTTGCTAAATGAGGTACTGAAATTAACTCATTTAATTCTCAATACAGTCTTACAAGTGGGGCCTATTATCTTTGTTTTGCAGATAAGGAAACTGGAGCATAAAGAGAGTAATAATTTGTTTGAAAATTTCCCAGAGAACTTTCAAAAGCTTAGTTTTATACTCAGTGTTTTGCAGAATTGATTTGGTTCCCCCCCCCAAAAGGTAAAGAGTATGCTCTTTCTATCAAATGCAGAGAGATTAGAAACTAATAGAAAAAGTTATCCACTTAAGGACACAAGTGTGTATTCATAAATGACTGGATTTTTTGATACAAATGAGTCTATTTTCAGTTAAAATCCAGCTGTCCCTATCATGCATGATTCAAGCATAATTATATCTGAGCTATTTTTTAGATTTCGATGACTTGATGGTACTTATGTATAGATTATCATCAGTAAAAGCTATTGATAAGTTTCCCATCTGTTTAATATTTACCCTTTCTCCTTAGTCACTCTTCTAAAGTATCAGAAATATTTTTATCTTTAAATAGATCTATCAAAATAGATTCAAAGGTAACACTTTTCTTTTTTTTTTTTAGATCTTAACTGATGTAAGAAATCTCAGATTTCCACCACTATTTACTCAGAAATATCCTCATGAGGTTTGTATAATTCTCATCTTTTGTTTACTTTAGAATCATTTAGAACTTAGTGTACTGTCCTTAGCAGTCATTTAGTCAGTTGTCCCATTTTATTGATGAAGAAGCCAAAGGTCTAGAGAGGAAAGGGACCTGATTCCAAGAGCGTACCCGGTAAGATCGAAGACTGGAACTCAGCCCTGGGCCTTGGGCCTTGTTTTCTGTGCTCTTGTGCTGCATGGAGTCCTATATGCGAATTGTAGCCATCTTTCCCTTACACAGGCCAAGCTCCCTGTGTGCCCTCCCAGGGACAGCTGTACCCTTACAGGGACAGAGCTGCTGTTCTGATCATGCCATTAATTGTTTTATCTGAGTGAATTTTGGAGAGATCTTAAAAACTGGCTTTTTTTGCAGGGCAGAGGGAAATAATTCCCATTGATTGTGTGTGTTGGGGTTGTACCACTCTGGGTAAATTGTTCAGGAGAGTGGGGAGGGGACATTTAGCTGGTCTGGTCTTGAATGGTGAAAATTTTGTGTGATGAACCTTTGAACTTTCTTTTGCAGCTTTTGTTTATTTCATAAAATGTTTCAGCCACAAACATTGAAAAATGTATACATTGACGAATTTTGAATTTTCTTTAATTAAGTTGAAGTAAATTAGACTGTTACCACAAATTGAAGTTTAAATTTATTTTCAGTATTACAATAGAGGATTGCATTAAAATAAATCTTATAATAATACAGAATCCACTAACCTAAATAAAATATATTTTACTAAAAATTATTTTGTTAAATATTTTCCAAATTTAATGAATCAGTTCTCAAGGGGGCTCATAAGAATATGTTACATTATACCCTGGCTGGTATAGCTCAGTGGATTGAGCACAGGCCTGTGAAGCAAAGGGTTGCTGGTTTGATTCCCAGTCAGGGCACATGCCTGGGTTGCAGGTCAGGTCCCCAGTAGGGGACACATGAGAGGCAAGCACACAGTGTTTCTCTCCAATGCTTTCTCCTTCCCTTCCCCTCTCTCTAAAAATAAATAAATAAAATATTTTTAAAAATGAATATGTTACATTAATAGGGGTTCAGTTTTTTTAATGGTGTTAGATACTGATCTCTGGCATTATTATATTTTAACTGAAATTTTTATTGAGATGATTGTACTTCACATGTATTAGTGAATTTGTTTTTAGTCAGATTATTTCTGTGTTTCAAGGATATGATTTATTTTTTTTTGAAAGATTTTACTTATTTATCTTTAGAGGGGAAGGGAAAGAGAGAGGGAGAGAAATATCAATGTATGGTTGCCTCTCATGCGTCCTTGCTGGGAACTGGCCTGCAACCCAGGCATGTGCCTTGACTGGGAATCAAACCGTGATTTTTTGGTTCGCAGGCCCACGCTCAGTCCACTGAGCTACACCAGCCAGACCTCAAGGATGTGATTTAAGACCTTTTATTATATGTTAGATAACAAGCAATTACCTACAGATAGTCCATATTTATTTGGAGCACGAGTTGTTGGCAAGCTCCAACCCACAGGCCAATTTCCAGCCGGCTGCCTAGTTTTGTGATAAAGCTTTGGATAAAACAATGGGCCATGCCCATTGTTTACATGCTGTCCGTGGCTGTTTTGTACTTCAGTGTGAGAGTAGAGAGGTTGTATCAGAAACTGGCTTGCAAACTTAATATATTTACAGAAAAATTTTGCTGACTCTTGACTAGGGGTCTGTTTAGTAGTCTAAACCTGGCCTTTTTGTCACAAAACAATTTTTGTATTTCAGTATACAGTGGTTAAAGACATGCTGTCTCCATCCCCCATGGATCGGCCTGAAGCCACAGACATCATTGAAAATGCTATATTTGAAGACTTGGAGTTTCCAGAAAAAACAGTGCTCAGGCAGAGGTCTCGCTCCATGAGTTCGTCAGGAACAAAAACATTCAAGACCACCTAGCAACTCCCATAGCCCTTTGCCAAGCAGTTAGCCTTATGTTGTGCCTGTACTCCTGATGGGTGACGCGGAATAGTCCACTTCTCAGGAATGTGACTTTACAAAATTGTGGACTTGAGAATTTTCTTTTTGCTCAGTTTTTTTGACTACTTTTCTAAGCCAAATTTAAACTGAATTTTGAGGTATAACCTAATTGGAGCCAACTCTTGATTTTGCTGTACTCAAGAAGAGAATTAGCACTGAATCACATGTGGTCTTTTTCTTTGTTGGTCTTGAAACTTGCCTAGGGAGGTGGAAGCGATCTGTAAAATTAATAGACATATTCTTATAGTACAGAATAATGAAAATCCCTGCCTTTGGTAACTAGATTGTTCTAGAAACATGCTTTCTAGGGATACTGGTGATTTTGAAACTGATTTTCAAAAAAAACTGGCTCCATTTTTATCTCTGGTGGGTAAATTAGGAGTCTGCACTATTTTGGAGGACAAGTAGCACAAATTGTACAGTGGTTTATGGCCATAGCTAGTTTTATAGTGGCATTTTTAGCATTAAATAGCTATATTCCTTAGATGGTTCCAGGAAGAGTATAAGAGCTTTTTATACTTTATATCCAAAAAAGGGGATGAAGCTTTTTATGTAAATTGGTCAAAAGTTCTGGTTTGGGGATTTAAAAAAAGGGCCATGGTAAGAAATGAATCACGTATTACATACAGCTAACTTCTTTAATTATGGACTTTTTAAAACCTAATAAAATCTTAAGTGTCTCATGTCTTATATGTAGGTTGGTACTTTCTGAAAACTGATTATAGATAACAGTTTAACCATCTAAATTGGTAGTATGTTTTTTTTTCACTGTGAATATGTAAAAGTTTTTATAAATAAAAATTTTTTATTTTTTATTTATAAAAATTCTGAACTCAATCCATTTGGGTTGGTGGTATATAGAATGCATTTAAGTATGTTAACTATTGTGACTTCTTTCAAGTCTAAATGATTTAATAAAACTTTTATTGTTTATGGTTGACTCTTATTTGGGGGAATTAGCCCCAAAATGGTAGTTTTTCAAATTTACATAATAGGACTATATGACCATACCCTCAGAGAAGCTCATTTCTAATCCATTACAAATAAGTGTCTTCTCTGTTATTTTCCAAAAATTTGACCAGGGCCAAGTTGTTTGCAAAATTTCACTGGGCTCCTAATCTAGAGACATTTACTCAGCACCTAGTCTGTGCCAGGGACTGGGAACATAAGGAGGACCCTGCCCTACAGGGAGACTTTGAAGAAAAGGACTATGGCATTGCTACTTGTGTTGATATCACAGCATGTCTGATGTGCCATATGAAGGCACTTGATATGATGGGCTGACTAGTTACAAACTAGCTAGATACACCATTTAAGGGTCAAAGTGCATGGTTACTTCCATTTACAGACAATGTCCGTCCCACAAAATTTTGAGCAGTTGATAAGCTAGAAAATCATGTCAGATATTGATGCCCTCTGTCCAGACTCTCACCTCAGTGCAGCTGGAACCTTGCCTTTCTCCCCAGGTTCTACTTGGCTACTGTCCAGCCCATCTCCATCTTTCCTCCTTCTTATTTTTCCTTTATCTATCTGTCTATCTATCTATCTATCTATCTATCTATCTATCTATCTATCATCTATCTATTTCTAGAGATGGGAAAAGGAGGGAGAAGGAGAGGGTGAGAAACATTCAATCATTTGCCTCTTGTATGCACTCCCAACTAGGGACTTGGCCTGCAACCCAGGCATGTGCTGTGACTGGGAAATCAAACCAGTGACCTTTTAGTTTGCAGCCTGGTGCTCAATCCACTTAGCCACAGGAACTAGGGCCCTTTTCCAGCTTTCATCTCTTAGCCTGCTTCAGTTGCTGTTCCCTCTGCTCCTTTCTTGTTTATCCTCACAGTCCCATCTGCAGTCCTTTTGACCATCACAGATACCCTGAGATCTGGCCCTGGCAGGTGTTAGGGTAGCCATTTTACCTGTAGGGAAGTCAGGTCCAGAAAGGTGCAGGAATTTATCCCAGATCACAAAGCCAGCCAGAACAGAAATGGGACCAAATCCCAGGTGTTCTGATTCCTGGACAGGGTTTTGTCTCTTCCCTATACCAAGCTCTGTGAGGATTGCACGATTTGTTCATGATGTAACACTTCTGCCTTCATTGTAATTCTGTCTGTGCCTTTGCTGGTCACAGTAGGAGAGCAGGCATGGAAGTTAAGGGCCTGGGCCAGCAGGACCAGTTGGTTCTTTTACAGTAGCAATAATAGTCTATTCCCTCCCACATTCCTTTCTCCTGATGTTACCGAACAACAGGTCTGAGGGAGGGGCACTATTTGGCCCACCTAGAGATGCCAAACACTGCTAAAGAACAGGGGCCCCTCCCAAGGACAGAATACTAATATCTACTGGGCTCTTCTGTCCGCTGACAATTGGAAAGACATCTCTCAATGCCAGAGATTTGTGAAAAGGAAACAAAATGTTTATTTAATGCTATTTAGGCTTAATGCCTCCACTAAAATATCAAAGTCCTTTAGGGCATACACCTACACCCACACAGCTCCCTTCTCCCACTGTCCCAACTCCAGGTACCGTAAATCAGGAAAAGAAGCACACGTCTATGTTTCATGCCGCCGCCACCGCCAGCTGTGTCACCATGCAGGCAGGATCTCTCTCTACTTAGTCTAAAGTACTGTGGTACCCTCTCATGGTCCACTGGCAAGAGTTCTTTGTACCCAGTTCCAGCCAAAGTCTTTCTTGCTTTCCAGGCCACACGGCCAAAGGGGGCATCCCAAAGCCGCGTGGGCCTCTTCTACCAAAGCTGCAGGGGTTCGCACTTCACCAAAAGCATGTGGCTTTCTTCTTCACCTGGCTGCAGGGACCTCCATTCTGGCAAAGCTTCGTGGTTTTCCCTTTCACCTGGGTAGTTATCCCCTCATGTCCAGGAGCCAATCTTTTCCAAGCTCTCACACCGGCACTCTCACTCAGGAGTGCAGCCCCTAGTTACAGCCTGGGTACCAGCCACTCCTTTCTCCCTGGCTCAAAACTTGGCCACTGCTATTTAACATGTCTATGAAACCAGTTAAAGGTTATAGATATGTTAAATAATCATTCTAGATGTTAGCTGCAAAGCTGTTGCTATTCAAAACAGCTCTCAGTGGCCCTGCTCCATCCGTCCCTTCCCCCTGATGTGGGGGTAGTGAGGACCTCTTATATGTCTCTCCAATATTCCTATACACTTTGAATTCTGGACACCATTCCAGATCTTTTTTTTTGCGCCCCCCCTTGGCTGCACCCCGTATCAATATCCCTCCTTTCAGATTTACACCCACTTTATAATCATATAAAGGAAAATGGACGAAGGTCTCATGTTGTAACTGCTTCTGGCTGGAAGTGGACGCTGTCCTACCTACCCCTGGCTCAGGGGTGCCCTGAAAGTGGGGGGGGAGGTGCAGCACGGAGGGAGTCCTTCCTGCAAGGGGAAAGACCTAAAAGGGTCCTGGTCAGTTGGCTGTCACCCGGACGTCGCAGGCTTGGTGTCCAAAGGCTGGCATTACTGGACCGTTGGCATTCTGGTCAGGTCATATTCTGGAGATGACAGATTAAGCAAGAAATTGGAAGCACAATTAAATCATAACTATTAATTGACAAAGTCAGGGACTTCAGTAAAGAATGGCTTATTTAGTGGAAGGTGCACAAGGCATGCTATACCTATGCAAGAGTCTTGTGCTCCACTATACTTCACTCGGGCTGAGGGGAATACATTAAGCTTTCCCTCCTTTCAGATTTCTGAGCCCTTTCTGTCCAAGCCATCAAGACAGAAAAGGGAAAATCAGTTCTAAAGTGAAGCCCACAGACCGCCCCAGCCCTTCACCAACCCAACTACTTAGTTCAGCCAAACCGTTGAGTCTCAGGGGGGCGATGACGAAGATGGGCTCCTTAAGTGAGGCCTATATTGCAACCAATCACTCATAGGCATAGGCAGGTCATAGGCATACGCCCTATGAAAACAGAAGAACACACAGGTTAATTCACACAACAATCTCCAAACCAGTCTCTGTGACTGTGAGACTGTCTTTTGTGAAGACATTTCATTGCAAGGTCCTTTGTACCTGTAAATTGTACATCTTCGGTGACATCACAAACCTGGTTTCAACTCTTTAATGAAAACAAACTTTCAAGACAGATGTGCCATTCTGATGTCCAATATTGAGCATTGTGATTTTCCTGAACTATAATTTTTCTCCTTAAGATCACCCTCACTGTTATAGGAACTGCTTTGGGTCCGCTTTTGATTTTGACTGTTTGCATAAACACACCAAGAGAAGCCTGGATCACTTATGATCCTTAAGTCTGCTTTGCTGGAACTCACACAGGGAACCCTTAGGTTGACTTCTCAGTCTGCCCCTCAGGGCACAGAAGCAGAGCCACACATCTGTCATCTGGCTTCGCCTGTACCAGTTGTTTCACTCAAATCCTTGAGCCTCTATTGTGCCTACAGGTTCCTTTTTAGCCATCTTTCAGGAAAGCAACCTTCGTTCCTTCCCTAGAAATACTGGCACGAACCGCACAACCAACCAAAGTACCAGGCTTTTCTTGTGGGCTTTTGCCTAGCTTCACAAGCCAATCCTAGTTCCTCAGGGCTTTCTGGTAACGACCAGAACCCATACATGCCTCTTCAGGCGTGACATTCCAGTCAAAGTCCTGGTTAACAAAACTACCATTACCAACTGGTCTTATTGGTTTTATGCAAAGAAACGTTACGTCATCGCTCATTACTTCAGAATTCCAAATTGTGGAGGGATCAGGTAGGGAGAAAAATACAAAGTGTGATGAAAAATCCTTTTCCTTCTGATACCCACTAAGATTGCATCTCCATGCTTTATACCTTCCATTACTAACTCCACATAATTCCTTTCCAAAACTTTTACAAACTTCAACCTTTAACACGCCCTATTCTATCTGTGCAGCTTCCCAGACCTTTAGCAACATCCAAAAAACTTTTACATCCTTTCATACACTTCTTCATTTATTTATCTTATACTTTCCCTTGTTCATTTTCTTACAGAGTATGAAGTTTCAACCTTTTCTGGAATCCTCAATTTCCTTTTCAGAGCAGATACAGAGCAAAATCCGAAACACAGAGTTCCGAAACAATACAGGTAGAGACATTCTCTTGCACCAGTGTGTCCACTGGTGCCTGGCAGAGACATGCTCCTTCAGGCCTGGTCTCATGGCAGAGACATGCTGCTTTGCCTCAAGCTGAAGCACTCATCAGCCCCAAATGACCCTTCCTGGGTCCCGGGTGGCAAAGGCATCCTCCCCAACCGGCTACAGTGACCTTCACTAGGTCTTACAATACAGGTTTCTGATCAGAAACAGAACCACATGTGAGAAATTTGTTTTGCCCATGAAACCAGAAAACAAGTAGTTGAGGTTTCCTTTACTACAGGTTTAAAATTTTCACATCTTTTATAAGTATTCCTACTCATCTAGATTTACCTATCATTCTCTTTTACTCTTGGTCCCTTTCCCACACTGGGAAGGACTATACTTAAACTCAGTATGTGGCAGCTAAAAGTCCATAGCACTATAGGTATCTTCCACTAAAAGTCCCTAGGTTCACAGGGACATTTTGCACCTTTCTGAAGCTTAGACCTTGCAAATACCCTATAAATAAGA